TGGGCAAAATGCCACACTGATAGAGTTTTTGAGTGAAATTCAGTATCTGGGAAGATGCTGCAATTACTAGTTTTCTGGTAGTGCTATTGGAGCAGATTGTTGTGGGTTTTTTCTAATGCTGTAGAAGGCCTTGAACTGCCAAAGCTGTATTTCACCAGTGTTTGTGAGGGAAGGAAATCAAACAGTGTGACAGTTAATTGCGATCACAGCAGTTGGACTGAAAAGACAGACCTGGCGGGTGCTTCTTGCTGACAGGTTACCCCTGCAGAGCCCTGACAGAAACGTCAGGCTTAGTAGAAATCCTTCAGAGAGGCAACTCTCGCATGGAAGTGTGCTGGCAGGGGGCTTGGGTACTTCAGGAACCCTTTACCTTGTTAGTTTGTGGGGAAGTGGAGAGTCCTGCCAAAAAGTTCTATTTCAACCTAAAATAAGTTTTTGATACCAACCATTTTTTCATGTTAATGAGTTTTATATTTGCTTTGGTATGAAATTCTTTCCAGGGGTTCCAGTAAGAGAAGGATTTGAAATGATAGCACATCCGCAAGTGTTTTTACAACCCTTACAGTTTGACTGTGATTGCAATTCTGTTGCTAGGAGGGGAAAAAAAAAGGCAGTATGTAAATCTTGCCTGATAGGACATTTTGGAAAAGAAGCTGGCCTGTACTCCCTTCTCACAAAACCTGTTTTACAGATTTCAGCTGTGTGGCAGTTGATCCCTCTGCAGTAATTTATCCAGGATATTTCTCCTGAGGTCTGCCTCTTTGACCTCATGGATCTGCCTGAGGTAGGGTCATCTGTGCAGAAATGGGGTTTTTCAGGAGAGAGGCCCTCCCAGGCTTCCTTTGCAGTTGCTGTGAATTTTAGAGTGCTCAAAATGTTATTGCATGACTGTTTCATGAATTTCTACATCTATAGTTTAACAACATAACTAAATTAAGGTCCTGGTTCTGAAGCTAAGGAGATGGAGATGGAGACTGAAATACATTTTCCAATGAAAATGACATCTGGTGTTGTGAAAAAAACATTAATTCCATTGGCTTTGGATGTGTTCTAGGTTGTCAGATGATGCAAGTGTACGTTTGCCTTGGCTCGCAGTGGTGATGCTTACCAAATTTCATCATGAAGTGAAGCCATAATGACTACATTTTCAGACTGGTTTTAGGTTTCAAATGTTAAAAAATCTTTTAAATAAGGGGGATAGAAAATGAAGTTAAACTAGTAAAAGTGTACCAAAGAAGTCAGTTGCTGTCAAACAAACAAACAAACAAAAGCCTGTAGCAAGAAGGGTAACAGATTTCAATTCAGTGATTTCATACATCTGGTTATGTCCAGAAACAAAATCTCCTTGGCTTGAAGAACTATATAAGCTAGGGAACTGTGTGTACTCCATGATGCAGTGATAGAATCACCAGAAGAGATAAGAAAAAGAAAATGTGCCATGGAGTGCTCTCACCCACTGTATAGAATTTGGAGCTGGGGCTCATGATCACTCAGTTCCATCAGACAAGGCCAGAGTTAATTCAGAGTAGTTGTGAGGCTTTGGTACACTGTAGAAATGTTTTATTCTGTCAAAATGTGTTTTGGAAGTACCTTTAGTTAAAATAAAATACCAAGAACAGGTTTTGTTTTCCATATTCACCTTCAATAGTTGTTTTAATCCATGGATAGTCTTACCCAACAGGCTTTTGCCATTCACAAAGCTGCTCTGATGGTCAAGTGAAGTGCCTGAGCAGGAGTGCATGTCTGCTTGGTCTGAGACTGGTGGGACACTTGCAGGATTACCTGAAATATCACATAGAGGAGGATATCTGGCTCTATCTGATGTAAAAAACTAGTAAGCAAAGACTTTTTTTGCCTTTAAAATTCTTTCATCGAGGGTTAGCAAAAAGATTGAAATAACACATAGCCTACAGACTGATGTATTTCATTAGGGCAACACAAGGGATGACTTGAAATTCTCATGCCTTTACAGAGCAGCCGGGTTCCTTTTTGCTCACACATTTTGTATTTTGAGGTTCAACGTATTTCTGGTTAGCACACAGCTTTTGCATATGTGCACCCGCGCACACATGGCCCTGCGTGGATTATGTGAGGGGCTTAATTCTGACTGCCTGGATTTGCAGGTGCTGTGTTGACAGGAAATTAGTTTGTACCAGGATGTGCCTTTTGAGGGCTATTTCCATGCAGTTGTGATGATGACATCAATGTGCGGAGGTCAGGCGAGGGGTGAGGTTGGGTGGAAAACAGCCCCTTGGCTGGAAGTTGTTTTTGGCAGTGCCTCCGTGGGACTGGAGGGTTAATCACAGTTTGTTTCTCGGGCTGCCGTTTGCGTCAGAAGTCTGGGCAGCCTTAATGAATGTTGCCTGTGTTAATCTGAAATCCTTGCTGGAAAATCATGGGAAAATGGAAAAGCGCATACTTGCGTGTCACCCTTCAGATGAACAGCTTGGGCAGTACTAGAGGTTTTGGAGTGCATGGTGCATCTCTGACCAGCTGCCAAAGGGATCTCTCACTTTAAACTTGTGCCTGCCTGTGACTTTAAAGGATATCCTGTTCAGCCAAAAGCTAATTTGCTGTAGACTCTGTGCTAAAAATGGTGCATCATATGATAGCTTAGTGAACAATGTAAATAAAAGCACTGAAATTGGAAATTCCTGGTGTCCTGGGTCCCAGACACCCCTTCATTTGGTATTATTTGTGTTATTGATTTTTTGCATGGCTGGTTTTAAAACCTTTTTCCTCCACTTTTAGCGGTTAATAAATCTCCATACAATGTCCTGGTATCTCCCTTCATTGTTTGAGCTGTGTGATGATCAGTGATCACTTAACTGTGATTTTCTGATTATTTGCTTCCTCATTGCATGCAAGTCTTTGTAACAGTGTGGGTTTTCTTTAGAATAAACATTAATTTTATCTTTTTTTCTTTTTTCAATCTGAAGCTTGTAAGAGAAATGTTTATATGGGGGAAAGATGAGATGTAATATTCATTCTAGCCACCTCTCTTCCTCTCTTTAAAACCAAATATTTCTTCGTTTCCTTAAAAAAAAAAATAAAGAAGTTTAGCATCTCCTCTGAAGTCCTCTAGCCTCAGTTTCAGATCATCTCACTTTTTCCTTTGCTTAGCTTTTTCCTGTGTGCAGTCTATGGGGTATAAAGTTGAGTAAATGTGAAATTTAAGCAAAATGGGAGGCCTGAATCCCTATTGAGACAAGCTTGTGTTACAAAGTTGATTTTCATTTCCTTTAAGCTGTGTTCTTCGAAAAGCATTTACTATCCTCATCCAACACCTGAAGTGTTTTATCATGTTCAACCCTCTATAATTCAGTGGGACCGTGACCCATGGGTATGTTAGAAATGTTGTAATATCTCCTGGGAATTTCTGACGTGGCTGCAGCAAACCAAAAAGCTGACAACTAGCTAACCCAAGTCCCTTCTCTAATATATCTTAACCACCTAAATATTCTGTTAGCCAGCATTTCTTGTAGCTCCTCAAAGATTCTTTCCAGACTAGGGCTGATAAGTTAACTGTTTTGCCTTGGAAAATTATAGAACCAGGTGTTGAATAGCAGAACGAGAGAATTCCTTTGGAGGACATCTGTACAGAAGTGACAGAGACATTACTGTTGCTTTGACTCCAAGACATTTGGGAAGTGCTTTGGTTGCAGGCGTGCTGATAATGGATGGCAGTGCTGCAGCAATATATGCGTGTAATAACAATGCAATTATATATTTGGAAATAATTGGAGTGCTTATATTTTGAAATCTAATATTTCTTCTTGCAAACCAGTGTTTAGGTTGCTGGGTGCTACAAGAAGCACATACACATCATTTGCGTAGCGCATCTGCCAACATATGAGTGTATGCAGTTACCTGTGTGTGGTCCTAGTATCTCCTAGGTCTAGTGTCCTTTCAAAACAAAAAAGTGATATGGTGTGTGATCACCTATGGTTTTTTTAATAACATTTCAGAAATAAAGCTTCTTTATGAAGAATTAGAATGATGTTATAAAGAACACAACTGCTCATGAGATGTGTTATTTATCACAACATAAGTGCTTGTTCTCTTGATTTGATTTATGCTATGTCTTCCTTTTCTGTGTTCTTTATGTGTGAATATGCAGACACACACATATATGTATGTGTGCACATATTTATATATGTTGAAGAATTGTCTTGGAACAAGGTAGTACATAATTTGCTTATTCTTTTTAAAATATTAGGAGCTTTTATGAAAACAACAGTTTATTTCTAGAATGCTTTTTGTTACATATAGTTAAGATATTTAAGCGAATCTTCCATAAACTTTAAGGTTACTAGAGTTAATTCCAAATTAAAAAGAAAAAAGAAGCCTAGAATAGTTTATGCCTTGTTTGTTCAGGGTTTTCACTTCTTGGTGATTTCAAATCTGGAATTTTCTGTTTCTCAGTCTTTGGTTTTTTTCTTTTCTTTTCTTTTCCTGGTATTTGTAGAATCAGCTGAGTTAAAGGACTGACAATGCACTTAGGAGGCAGTTGGTCAATGCGTGATTTATCCTCATTTGATGGGGAGAACATAAAAATGTAGAGCAACTCTGCAAAATACATAACTACCTAATTTTTATACTGCATAGGGTGGTGTAAGCGCTCCTGTGGATGCTGCTAGAAACATGTCTGACTAGTAAGGAAGCTGCAGAAATTCAGTTATCTTAGAAATATTTATTCCAGACATCCACATTGCGTTAAACTCTTTGTAACACACACAGCAGCATGGGAAGTAAGAAAACCTCAGTTGCTTTGCTGAATACCAAGAACGCCTTTGAAGGACTAATTCTCCAATTTGCTTTTACTCACTTCACATGACTGAGACAGTTTCAGGGACTGAAGGTGAAAATAAAAACCAGAAGGAATGCAGATAAAGAGGTGGATCCCTGTAAATTGAAAAGAACTGGAAGTTCTTTCCTTTCTCCAGTTTTCTAGGAAGAGAAAGCTAATACTGGGACTTTTTTTTGTTTTTCTAAATTAGCTCTTCAGGTGCTGGAAATGTAGCAGACCGTGTTTTGGCTCAGTTGCTAACGGAAATGGATGGGATAGAACAGCTGAAGGATGTGACAATTTTGGCAGCTACAAACAGACCGGACATGATAGACAAGGTACGAATAGACACACTGTCGTATATCCTGTTCTCTAGAAAAGACCAGATTTTGCTATAATTCCCTTCTCCATTATTCTCCAAACTTTAATGATTAAAAGTAGAAGTTTGCAAATGAAGACAAGGAAAAGATTGTCCCTTACTTTTTTTTCCCCCCTCTGCAGAATATTTAAAAGAAACAAAATGTTTTTGATAGCCTTAAGAATCTTTTTCCTAGAAGAAATTTTCCTTAAATCAAGCTCATGGAACTTGTGCAACAGCATTTCTGTCAAACTGCTTTTGTGGTTTTTGCTTCTGTTGTGTTTATTTATGCACAAGTTTGTTGGTTTCATTAGTTACTTCCTTTCCAAAGATTATCTCCTTGGTGCCACTAGACTGCTGCTAGCAATACGGTTTCCAACTGTAAACAGTGCAATTTCTCCTCAGATCCTGCAGCAGCTCTGCTGGAGTGACAAGAACATTTTGAGTTTATAAAAACGGGAGGGTTGTAACGCTTATTATGGAAAACCTCCAAACACAAAACTAACCCAGCAGCCCTCTAGAAAATCCCCCTTAAAACCATCTCCCACTGCTGTGTCTTCTCACAGCTAAGTGCAGTAGATGGACCAGTCTGAAGTGATTTCCATTATGATACGTTTTATAGTGTTGGTGAGGTTCTTTTTTCCACAACTTGTCATGAAATTCATGAATGTTGTGAAGGTGAAAAGTTAGTAAAAATTATTTTTCATGATCTTTTCTAGGGTTTCTTATAAATTTCTTAAATATTTTTAATGTTAACAGATTGTCCCATTTTAAGCTGTCTGGAATAGACTTTTCTGTTTGTCTTGGAGCATTCAGGCATAAATATGTATGAAGCACACACTTTTAAAGTAAGGTTCATATACACATGAAATCTTGGGGGGTGAAAAAAACCTTGCTTTTTGTGACCAGAATACAGCCTTTTCCCTGTTGAACCGGAGGAAGACGCACAGCTGATGGTGTCCTGACACAAAGTGTGCCTGGCAAGGCAAAGTAGAGTTATGAGAAAGTTTTCAGTAAAAGATGACAAAAATATGAAAAATACTCAGTGAAAAATATGCTTGAGCAAAAATTAAATTTTCAAGATTCCACTTTTGTCAGACGGATTCAGATTTTCTTTGGTTACTATTCTTTGAGGTTGGACTGAGCTGAATTTGAAAAAATTCTGTTTGTTGAACAGAAGGGAAATTTCCTTCTCAGGCAGTTCAACATTGTGCTGTGTTATCTCTGTCACCACCTGGGAATTCACTGTCATTCTCCTTATTGCTGGATTTCTCTTGGGCATGCAGTGAATGCTATTTTTTTATATTTTAGCTTGTATTTGAAATATTGGCGTATTGGGACAGTATTTATTTGAAATATTGGCAATACTGGGGCAGTACTACCATGTGTTAAGGGTACCAGCCTGCAATACCTAGGTTGCTTGATATATGCCAGCTGTACCTACATCACTGGTGCAAATCCAGACCACTTAGTCTGGTGCTGAAAGTTTTCGTTTTAATACGGTGGGTAAAATTTTGACATCTCTTGTGCATCTGAATTTTGTGGGAGTGGTGAACTTTTAAAAACTAACAGCATAATTGTGTTCAGATGACAACATATCTTATATATTCTTTTCCCTGATAAAGCCGGTAGTCTTGACTCTACATGTAAAGAAGTTGCCTGAGACAGTGCCCTCCATAATAGCAAGCTGTGTGATTATAGGAATTTTACTAGCAAGAAACCATGAATGGATATTTTGGATTTTTATTTAGAACTATTTTTACCAAGGTATAGTAAGTTCTGGTAGCTTTGTAGAAAGCATTTGTTTACAGAGTAGCAGAACAAAATTCCTCCAGTCTGGAGGAAGGGGGGTTTTAAACTGGGATTTAAAGGACTGGAGAGTCACATGAGTTGGTATTGCTTGCATCATGCTTCATTCAGACCAGACAGGCTATACCAGGCCACCACCATGTCCTGGGTCTGTGTAATATTTTCAGTGCATGCCTTGCACATTTTATTTTTAATCCTGGAAGAAAGAAGTCTGGCACCAGAAAGAGTTTGTACTGTGAGCTTCACTTCATAGAAAACCTTTCAGTGTGGGCTTTTAGTTTACCTTGTGATCAGTGATCCCTTTGAAAAGGTAACATTTTGTTAAATCAATTTAATATTTTATATGGAAATATATTACAATAAATGAGTGCCCTGTTTTCATAGGTGTGTGATGACTGTACAGTAATTTTAATGTGTGAACTTTACATATGGTATAAAGACAAAAGGCAGTCTGTGTTCTTTCCTTCCAAAGACTGGGAAGATGTCTGGAATACTTCTTGTGACTACCTTTTCACTTTTGAAACCAAGAAATGCTTGAGGAATGCATGCTTTGTAGGTTTTACATTATACGCTTACAAAATTGGTAATAATCCATTCAGCATCTTCATTTATGTGGCTGTTTCTTAACTGACAAATATGTGATGATTTTTCTTTTGTAATTTGAAAGCAGCATGTGGGAATATCAAACGTAAGGGTATTCCCCTGAGCCTAGTGCAGACTTCATCATCTCTGTAAACACCACAGTATGTTGTTTTGGGTAGTGAATAGATTTTGAGTCAGACTTTATAAAAGGTTGTGTTTAATTCTAAGCATGTTTTGACTTGCTACAAGTGTCTATAAATAAGGTAATTGTGTCTATTAATAAGGTAATTTCTCTAAGATGTCGTCATAGGGTTGGAATAATATTTCAATACAAAGTTGTGTCCCACGTTTGTAGCACTTAGCTACTTTTCATCTCATTCATGTGATGCTGGAAATACTTGAGGATGGTTTCTGTTTTTCATAAGAAAACAAAACCAGCACGTACAGTTTTCAGCCATGTATGGTACAGAAAGTGATTTCTCTTGGAAGGGAAATATTTGGGAACAAGATGTTCTGAACATTCTTTGAAAGTGATACAAAAAAAAAACCACTCTGAGTCAGTAATAATAGTAAAATCTTCCCTTTTAGTCTTCATTCCGTAAGTAGAATTGATGGACAATAACTGGGAAAATACTTTTTGTTTTTGGTGACTTACTCAGGAGTGATTTTTTTCCATACTTAAAATATTTTGCAGTAATTTTACGGAGCTGCTTATGTTTCAAAGCTTGTCTGTATGTTCCTGTGTATCAGTTGGCCTAACAGGAGAGATCACTCATCCTCACAAACCTTGCATAAAGTATTTTGAACACTGTATAATTTACTTAGCTTGAAATTAAATGTTATGTTCTGACATATATATGGACAAGCTTTCAGGTGTAGTCTGAAAAATGTCCATGGAAGAAAATCTGGACCAACTCATTAGGATCTCTGTGTCTTTTTATTCTTTTTCACTGGAACCTGTTTTCCCAGCCTTTCAGTACTGGGCTTATTTCTTGTGTGAGAAGGGTGAATTGCTGTCATTACTTGCCCATGCAGATATCTTCTTTCCTCTGAAGCAGAGTTGCAGTCTCCATTAGCAAGGGTACAGTGAAGGCAGAGAGACTGTCTGATCCCTGGGGACCTTAGTGAATGTTTTAGCACAGGAAGCAAGATGGTGTTGCTGGGGCATCAGATAGTTTTACCTCCTGCTGGGTCAAATTTGAATGTGAAACACATTAGCTGTGATGTAAAACACGAGGTGCTGAGTGAAGTGATGGTCTGTGGTGTAGGATGATATCCTGGTGCTCCTGACAGCTTCACTTCTCCTTATCGTGGGGTGCAGAAAAGATGTATCCTCAAATATGCTATTTGCATAAGAATGACAGGATGTGATGGGACAAATGAAGATTGATGAGATGCTGTGCTGTCAGCGTTGCCTATTGTCTCTAGATTGATGATGGTCTGGATTTTGTCTGTACTCATGGGTTTCAGTGTGGTTTAAACCAGAAAATATCCTGGTGTGTTGAATACTGAAGAGCTGTATCTTCACAAATGCTTGTTAGTACGGGAGGGCTTGGCTCCCAGTTTTAAAGCATCTTGCGTATTGGTATATGAAACACGTGTTCTGTGTATTTTACCAGTGCAGATTTTTGCATATTTACTTTGCTTTTTAGAACCTTCTTGCTCCCTTGCTTTCTTCCTCTTTCCCCTTCTCTTCCTTCACCTGCAAATTTTGCTGTTCCTTAGATAAGCTCCATTGGTTTTGGCGTATTAACCACTGGGTTCGAATTCAGCTTATTTAGTTTAAGAACCACATGGATACTACTGGGTTGTCTGTTCTGCTTAAGCAAACAAAATAAATCAAAACTGCAGCCTATATTCTTCATAGTAACTGCCAAGCATGGAATAAAGCTCCCTTCCCCTCTGTTTCATTTGAATTTAGAGGGCTCTTTTGGGCAGAGAAATCGGAGAGGTTCATCAAGTTGGTCTGACCCCCAAAATGTTGATTACTGTGTACTTATGGGACAACCTTAAAGTGGCTTGTTTTGATGAAAATAAAAAATCCATGATGTAGCCAGTTGGCAGAATCAGTAAAGAAATTGTAATTTCTTGCCTGCAGCAAAAATAAATAATCTTTCCTTTTTAAAAACATCAAAGTTCTGTCTTTCTGAAGGCTTATGGAAGAAATTCAAATATTTAGGTTTGCAGTTTTACAAGGTAAAAGGAGTAGGAAGGAATCTTGCATATTTATTCATTATTGTCTGGAAGTGTGTATGTGCTGTTATAAAGCAGGTGATGCTACAAGCGTATTCAGCAGTCAGATGCAGTGGCACAAAATTACCTCACTACCATGTGATAGTTTTCTATTTACATAGCTGTTTGTGATTGTCATTTTGGTCAGATTCATCTTACTAAAGGTTCTTTCTGGTTTACAGCTTTGACTTGGTAGGATTTCAGTTTATCCCAAATACAGTGTAGGACTGTAGAGGTACCAGTCACATAACCTGTCAGTCATGTGCTAAGTTTCCACCCCTCACCAGTTTGATCTAAGATCGTAAAATACGTGAGGTTGGAAGGGGCTCCTGGGAATCTTTTGGTCCAGCCTCCTGC